TTTAAAACCCATCTTCTGGAGATGGACCTTTTAAAAGTATATATGTACACACACACACGCAGAGTGCTGTCCTCCTACGTAGCTCTTCTGCTCAGTGCCAGCCTCGAAGGAGCTTCGACTGTCTGCAATAACTGGTGGCTTCAAGGCTGCAATTTGGGATGTCCTTTCCGTTTACGAAGTCATTTATGGCACATGTAGCTTCTTTTGGAAAGTGATGGAACAGGAAAGAGGCACACTGACAAAAAGATGTACAAATATATGTTCTGGGTCTCTGCTTGTCACCACTATTTTACAGTTAAAGAGCTGCAAATCCATGGTTGAGCACAGGGCTGCTACTGAGCTGTGCTGTGGAAAGTTTACGGAAAGCAGAGCAGGGAACGGAGGCCTTCCCCATCTCCTGGCTCCAAGTCAGTGAGACACTAAGCACCTCCAAGTCCCCTGAAGTTCACCAAGGCAGCTGAGAGCAAGAACCGAGTCCTCAACGGGCTTCTCTAAGAGCTAAGAGTGCCCTTCCAGGCTGACAAATACCATAGAGGACTTAAGTCCTTCAATATGTCTTTTAAAATATATTACTCATGCACATTACAGTGCTAAGGTAAAAATCAGTTCAGCCACGCATAGCCTAGCCATATCACAACCAGTACAATACCAAACACTAAGGCTGTACAATGGTAACAGCAAGATGATTTATTATATGCTGAAGAAAAAAATTATTTTCATCCACTACTCCCTCAGGGTGGGGGGTGGGGGGGTCAGTACAATATAAAGAAAAGAAGGACAAATGTACAAAACCAAGCTGACAAGAAGGCTCTAGATGAAATACATTCAAAGCTCTTGCAAATGATGTTGCTGGACATATGGAGAAGGAAATTAAATCAAGTCCTCCTTTCCCCCCACAAAACACAGATTGAAAAACTCATTCACTTAAAATACTTTAGGTCTGATTTAAAAAAAAAAAAAAAAAACATTCCTGCCTTTACCTGCAGATACTTGAGATAAAAAGATCCATCTTTTAAAGGAGATGCCCAAAGCTACTGTTTGAGCACATTTGCATGAAAACGGATTTTATTTTCACTTCTAATGTTATGCAGGTGGCAAAGCTGGCCAGGCTCAAAACAATGGGAACTTAGCCACTAACTTCAAAGGAACCAGGTCCATACTTCTCCAGCCTCAGTTAATCCTGAGAATATGTAGACTTTGCCAAGAGAGATCATTCCTTTTGGAAACCTTTTTCCATAATTGGCAATAGATGTCCTTATCCAGAGCATCTTTGTATATACAGTTTAAAAAAAAAAAAGACATATATGAGACTTGTATATACAGTTTTAAAAAAAAAACATATATGAGAAAATATCAGTATGAAATTCCTGGAGGGTTTAAAGGCTTGTTCCTAATCAACTAAAGACAATGAACTTTATTTTAGCTAGAGCAGGACCAAATCCTTATGGAGCAAGATAAACATTCTTCTAAAAGCAAAACCATACGGGTGCTGTATCTGAAACAGGAGTAAGAGACAAATTTTAGCAGTCTACTTTGTCTCAGCCTAGCTAACATTTAGCTGGGCTATTTCATATACTCCTGACTTGGGCAAAATTCCCATTGATTAGTGAGGGTGCTGCTCAAGCAATGTTGCAAAAGGACTTCATGCATTAGTAAGCTAAAACAGGAATCAGTGCTTACGGAAATAGCTTTCCCTTCTAATGCCCAATAACAGGCATACAGAAAAGGAAAATACAAGAAGCTTTACAGATAATAATAATAATAAAATGCCTTTTGTTATGTTCATGACATCCTAAGCAACTCCACGGAAATTTTCAGGGTTCCTTTTGATGTACACCAAAAAAGCAAAATGTCAGAGACACCAATGTTAGGCAAGATTATAACACAATTACTTATTAGCACAGAATGCAAAGTAACAGCTAATGCCTAATGCAAGCAAAAAAAAAAAAAATACAAACTCCTTACAAATACATGGCTTCCACACAGTTTACTTCCTTGCCTTAAAAGAAATGTTTAAAAGTACTATGAATTTCATGGGTAATTAAAAATAGTGTCCCAAATTACCACAGGAATTAGTGAAGAAAAAAAAAAAAAGGATGAAATGGATATTTAAGAAAGAGCTACAAGGAAATCCTGATTTTGTTCAGTATAGGAAGAAAGAAAGAAAAGAGATTCACTGGTTGGGTTATTTTTGCATCAAGGACGAATAAACACTACATATATGGGGCAGGAAAACATTTTCACAAATATAATAAATATCTGTTCTAATCCAAAAACAAAGTGCAATGTAGAGTTTTCTATTCAAACAAAAACAACCTATAGTATCATGCCTTAAATATTCACAAGTCAATTAGTGGTCAGCACAGTAAAATAAATATGAACACACTGATTTAATATTTTTTTCAGCAGCAAAGGTCATTAAACTACTGGCCAATGTGAGAGCTTCACAGAAGTCCTATTTCATGTTTGGTATTTCATTTAACTTAAGAACAAGATTAACTGGGTGTATGAAATGGTACTACAGCTATACAGCATCCTCCCCAGCTCATCTATGCCACATAAGACTATGCCAGGATGCATTTTCAACACGCATTTTGAATGCCAATTTAGGTGGTGATTCTCATTAAAAAAGAATAAAAAAGAAATAAAATCAGGATCAGTCCTGCTTCTCTAGCTGAAGGATTTGAGTTTGGATTGACCCTAAGGGTATCCATGTGGCACGTTTTCTCCGTGTTAGCCGATGCTGAGTGAACTTTGGTCACTCATAGGGAAGGGCCACAACGTAGTTCTGGGGCAAAGCAAGTTTCAGGTGCTTCTCCCAGCAATAAATACCCCTATGCCTGCTCCAAAGATCTGTTGCCTTCAGTCCCACTCCCTACTTGGGAGCACTCTGAAAAATCTCAGGATGACAACATTCAATTCTTGTATTCTTGTGAAGGCAACAAACTATCTAGATGCCTCCCTGTTCAGGGCAGGCTCAGGATGTGTGAAAGCAGAGAGAAATGCCTTGCTGATGGAAGCAACAGGCTAGAAGACACCAGTACCTAAAACTTCCCAAGCTCTTATTTCACAAAGAGCTGGTTTTCTGCCACTAATGAGCCTGTGGGAAATATCATGCTTTAAGTTACAGCTAAAGGAATGTTTAACCACAGTGCAGGGATCACTGGTGAAACACACTGAGGTAAGTCCCTGCACAGTGGTGTCACACCAGGGAAATAAGAAAAGACAGAGCACAAGGAGAGAATAAGCCCTTCTTTGGCTGCAAAGGATGGGGTGGGAATCAAAGGCTGACAAGAGGTGTTGCAAGGGCAATCATCAAAGCAGCATAAGGATGATGGGTTGGGGCAGAAAAGCAGAAACAGATGCACAGGCTGCCAAAGCAGCTCAGTTGGTGCTCTGCAGCCTGGGCACCTGTTCCACCCTCTGATGAGCTCCAGTGCAGTCTCTTTAACCAGGCTTTGCACAGAGGGGAGGGAATCACATTCAAGACGACACCCGCTGCCCTGCCTGCACCTACAGGCAGGGATCAGCACGGAATGATGCAGGAGGTTGTTTTCCACTACTACAGAAGAGCTCACCCTCCATGGATTTAGGAGGGATGAGTTAAGGTTACAAGGATTGCTGGTGCTCAGGTAGCTAGAGATACATTTTTTTTTTCTTTCAAAACAATGGTTTCTGAAGAGCAGCCTTTAATTTTGAGCAGTCAAGTGTCACAAGCCTTTCTGAGGTGAATTAGAAAGATGAATAAAATACATCCTTTTCTGTTAATTTTCTGTTAAGGCAAGCAAAAAAGCCTTCTGGAATTCAAGAGGCAGGATCAGAATGGCAAGGAACAAAAAAGAAAAAAAAAAAAACACAACCAAAAGGGGACTACCTGCAACATCACACATTGGGGCAAATTTATCCCTGGCAAAGTGCTGTTGAAATCAGTGGAGCTGCATCTAACTCAACCTGCTGTGTAAAGACGAGTAGGAGACAAGTAGTAGCTTCCTATCCCCTCTCTGCACCTGCCCTGAAGCCAAGGAAGCTGATACCAGTGTAGAGCTGTAGCAGCACAGTGGCAAATCAGGTCCCAGGGAGGCTAGCTACATGCTGCACTTGCCACTGGAGCCAGTGTTTTAGAAACATTGTGAATTGGATTCCAATCACAGCTCCTAACACCTACCCAAATGAGTAGAAAAATAAATGGCAGCCCTACTTCTGCTCTTTAACCCCTTTCCACTACTTCTAAGGAATATTAAAACATATGCATAGTCTTTGGGTTTCTCTACACCTAAAGATTTGCTTAACAAGTCTCATAAAGACTTCTGCTTGGCCAAGAAACTGTTACCTAAACAACTGTCACATCCAACAACTATATCCTGCCTAGCATTGGAGTTTACGTGGTCCCTGAAACAGTGATGTTCACATCAAGAAATGGAATTAAAACCCAGTCTGAGATAGGGAGAAAAAAACCCAACTGATTCAATATTGGTAACTCAGGTTCGAGGGAGAATTTCACCTCACCCCTGGGTTCCCTTTGGGCTTAGTTGCAGGGAATGGTGTGGAAGTGGGACACAGCTGATACCTGCTCCCCAGAGCCCAGGCAGCCCTGCTCTTCTGCAGCAACAGAGCTGCTGGCCAGAGCAACACCTGCCTGTGTCAGCACGTAAAGAAATTACAGCCGACAGCTCTGTCCAACCCATCCTCAATCCTACACAGTCTAACACTGAACGAGAGCAGAGCACATCCAAACTGAGTAGATTTGCTTTCCAATTCTCCTCATTAGACTAGTGTGACCCACACAGGTTCTCCTCAGAGAGGTGAACTACTCCTGTGGTGTATGAAGGCATCTAGTCAGCTATAGCTCTGAAAGTCTTCCCTCTCTGTTAACCATTTGGAAAAACAGAGTATTCCTGGATGTGGCTAACCAGCTGATAACTAATGTCAGATATTAGAATGAAGACTTCATCACAGAGGAAGAAGGAAACAAGACTGTTCAAGGACAAGGTGTGTCTTCTACAGGGATGTGGGAAGAACTTCCTGTGGGCTGCAATAGGGGCCACAGCAGCAATTTGTGGACAACTAAACCATCTAAAAAACATTTGCAGGCCCCATTCCCATCCCTCTCTTCCAAGCTGCCCAGAGATTCACCTTGCTCTAACAAGACATTCAGGAGCACTGCTCTCTGGCACACCAAGGGGAAATGGGCTTTGCACAAGATCCACCCATGTGGCAGAATCACAGAAGTTCCCAGCACTTCTTGGACTTTGCATGTTCATGCAGAAGGCTGAGGAGAAGACAGAGTCCCCCCACTCGATACAATGAAGAGCCTTAGATAACTAGCAAACAAACATCAAAACACTTTATGTCCTGCACAGTGTCATCCTGCCAACTATGATAGAAAAAAAATCTAACCATACCATTAAGGTTGCAGGTGTTACATGTATAGCTCGAGAGCATACTCCTATCAAATGGAGCACAAAGCAGGGCATGTGGCAAACAGCAGGCGAGAGACAAGCTGCTCTATTTGCAAACTACTGCCAAGGGTGGCGTGTCATTGTACATAGCCTAGGTTCTCCATCTCATTCCTATACCGCTGTTCAGACACCTTGCTTTTATGCTGTTTGCTTTCTAAGTGCTGTCTGAACTCCATCTCCTCACTGGCCCCAGCATTGCACATGGAGCAGTAAAACTGGCCGCTGGGAGTGACACACATGGCCAGATCCCGAGGAATCCTCTGGCGTGAGCGGGGATTGAAGTAGGGACCTGCGGAGACAACAGAAAAGCCTGTTTATCTACAAGGCAGAGAAACTTGGCAGCTCAGCGACAACTTCTAAGGCTGACAAATTTTTAAAAGCAGCCAAAGATTACTTTATTTAACTGATTAGAATCCCATTCTTGTTTTCCCACACGACTTCTCCACTGAGAACCAGATTTACAAAGGGGGATCACACAGGGGACTGGTACGTGCTGATATTTTCCAAAGCACTAGAGTAGACTTAGATTCTTATTAGCAATCAACAGTGCCTTTAAAAACTATGAGTCTAATCATTTAAGTGATGACCCAATTCTTTTTTTTAAACCCTCTAATTAGAGTGGTCTTGTGAATGGAATAAACCTATCTCAGCCAGAATTAGAGTGATCTTGTGAATGGAATAAACCTATCTCAGTTAAAATTAAATAATGTTGAGATATTTGGAAAAGATAAATCTTTTCAAAATTGATAGTGGCTGGTACGGTAAGATTAAATTGAGCTTCAGTGGCAGGGTTTTAGCTACTATGTGCTAGTAACACAACATAAAAGAGATGCTGATCTGGACACCATAAAACCCGCTTTCTATCATAAAAAAAAAAGAGGCAAAGTTAGTATCTAACACCTGAGGAAGGATTCCAGGAACAGATGGTCTTAGAGGGAGGCTAACATGCTCTCTCATTCTGGACATGGGAGTGCAAGTACAGGTTGATGCGCTGCCGTAGGAGTCAAAGCACCTGGCTGCTCGCCAAGTAAATAAAGCAGGAAAATTGTCACCACTTAGAGCAGCATTGGAGACAGGCAGATGGTAAATTAAGTTACAAACTGAGAACCAAACTAACAAGCAGGCAGACGGAACAAAGAAGCTTTAGTAGCTGAGAAAATGTGAAACAGAGCTACGGTCATTTCCTTTCATGTCCCCTTGCCGCTAAAACAGAGCTTAGACAGAGAAGACGACCAAATCTATCGAATATTCAGTCTATTCCTACTACAGGATGCAACAAATGAAAGCTCTGTTACCTGTGTTGTTCTGAACTGTATACATATTTCTTCTATTCTGCATCATCTTATATTCATTTCCTTCTTTCCTTGCTCTCCGTTTGCCTAGTTCTGATGCATCCCTGAAGATTAAAGAAATAAGAACAGCTGCAATTCAGATTTTTCTAAGGAAAAACCTGCCAGAGACACTGCCACATGGTTTCAGAGCAGCCCGAGTGTGAAGTTGAACAATACCTACGAGAATGAGTTATTCTGTGCTTCTGCAAGACGCAGCCGCTTGGCATGATTCTTCCCTTGGTAATGAGCCTGTGCCACCGCCGGAGAACTGAACGAGGCGTCACAAAGCTTGCAGTAATCGTTCTCTGTGGCCAGGATCACTCTGCCACCTGGTTTACTGGATCCCATCTAGCAGCAAACAGAGAGACAGCATGTGAAACAAGAAGGTAACTCACTGAAATATTTGAATATCAAGGCTTCAGATCAACACTGTCTTTGTCAGGCAGTTAGCTGACACACACAGCTGGAATCAGAGCACACTGATCAGGACCCTTTGCCTAGTGCTCCCTAAACCACTCTCAGAGGTAAATTCAGCTTTCCTTGCTACAGCCTCCCAGATAATCTGCAAATTCCCTAAGGCCTATGCAAATCCCTGGCTTCAGATGGAGACAAAAGCAATCTGACTGCACACCCTGCACCTCTGCAATAGCCCCACAGGCCTGTGTGGCTATAACCCCCTCTACTATTGATTCCTGGCAGCTGAAAAACAATAATTTTCACACTGAGGAAGACCCACTAAAACGTAAAGGTGCTCCTTTCTCGTGTACCTATCACATGCAGCCTTCCCACAGCTCCCCTTTTCTCCATCATTCCCTGACCATACTAAGAGATAAAAGCAGCTGTGGAGCTGCCAAAGCTCTGACCCTTGCCCAGCAGGCAGGAGGAGACCTGGATGAGCAGGCACCCAGCAGCAACTGCTTTTCCTCAGTGTTTGTGTATCACCCAGAGAAAAGTGCTTTGTAAACAGTGCAGCAGCAGTGATTCATACTGCCGTGTCAGTGCTGCACCTGCCAAATCCGTTTTTTTCAGGTCTCCTTTGATGTTATACAAGCTTACAGACTCACGTTCATTACAACACCAATCCTCACAAGGCTTCAGTGCAGCCTCCTTATTGCCATGAACCATCTCCAACACAAAGAGGAGCAGCTCATACCCTGGCTGGTGCAGCACTCATCTCCCAGCACCCAGGGCAGGAGCTAATGCCCTCTCAGGACTCAAATTCAATTCTGCAAGCCACAAAGTCCTTTAACATGGGACTAAGTCTCCCTCTGGTGGCTCTGGCACACATATCTGCCACTCTTAGGATAGACTTTTGTATAGATAGCAGAGACTTGTGCATTTTGAGGAAACAGTTCTGGTTCCTCGTGCACTCACATGCACGAGTCAGGGTAGCCATTAAGCTGCATGATAACCAGAACCCATAAACTCTAGAGAAAGAAAGATGTTTCTTTCACCTCTAAGACAGAAGTAATCTGAACTACAGAGGGAGTGATCCACTCACCCTGCACACAGGACAAGCACTGCAAAAGAAGCTACACAGATAATAACTATAACAATAAATACTAGATAATAACTCTGAGCAGTGGGTGTAGAAGTATCAAAGCACTTTTCCACATAAGCTTCACTCGCACAATTGAGGGATGACTCCAAAGGGTGGGTGCCGCACCCTCATTTCCAAATCCAGCTCTAACAACACTGCTTTATGCCAGCCCTTGAGCAAACATCAGCAGCAGCACTTTGGGCTTACATAAGAATGAAAATATTTGCCATGCAGAAAGAGAACATTTCAAGTCCAATATTCTGCTGTGAAGGCAGATCAATATCTGCTTCTTCAAAGGAAAGTCTGCAGCTCACAACAGGCCACTTCCTCCATCCAAGAAAAACCCTTTCCAAATATCCATAGCAATCCTCAAAGCATAAGATCTACTTATTCCTATTGGGGGTTAGGTCACACACAAGCAGCATGATCTCAGTCACCCTCCCAGGCCTTACCTGGGCTGGCAGAGAGACAACCTGAGGCGGGGCAGGTTCAACCGAATTACTCATCCTGGCAGGTGCTGGACAGCTATTGGCAGCATAGTAGTTTCGGAGTTTCTTACTGTGGTTTTTACCCTGAAAAGAGAAACCACATTACTTACTGTCCTAATAACAGTATCTTTCTTACACTGCACAGCAAAAGGACTCCAAAAATTAATGAAAAAGTGGCCATGAAGATAACACCTTAAAGGAGGTGTCCCTGAGAAGACAGCAACTCTCATCTTGAGAGATGGTGGCATCCTCCCTTGTCTCCAGTTTGCCTAGCACCTGGCACAACTGGGCCTCATTTTCAGCCAATTTTCTCAAATTGGAAGGGCAAGAATTACTTCCATTTCACTTCACTTTAAACCAATGCTTTGTATTTTGAATGTGAAATGGTAATTGTTTTGCACAGGCTTAAGCACAGACACACACACTGCTCCATATTTTATCTTCCAATCAAGAAAACAAGAGTGTATTTCAGTTCAGTGCTTTGAAAACTTCGGAGGTGGGTAAGGGGATGTGTATGTCTGAAGCTGTATGCATAAATGCAAATTACATCTTTTACTATAAATACAATTCCCCTGTCTCATAAGAGGAACACCAAAAAAATGTTAAGCTGTAACAGTAACTCAGGCTAATCCTTAACAAGTAGGACACCCTTTTCTCAGGACAGAGAAGCTTGAGGGTTTGGCCTGGTGGCCTCAGGACAGCCACGGCCTTGGATGTGCTGGTAAAGAAAGTTACTGCCTCCAAAACTCATGCAAAAACAGCACCAGGTAGAAAACGCAGTGGTAAAAAGGGGCACTTTCAACGTGCCAGCAAAGCAGCATATACAAGAATTCCCTAACCTACTTCACACAGGCCAACCAGACCAGCTTGTACAAACTTAATTGCTGGTTGGAGCTGGCCCAAGTGATGTTGTCCAAAGCAGATGAGAGGTTGCAAAAATGGCCCTGACGGCAGATCTATGATATTGGTAACCTTCAGTAGAGGGTGGCAATGAACACATGGCAGCTGACCCCTTTCCCAATGGTACAGATGGGTCCATCAGACAGACAGCATCTATCCAAGACTTACAAAATCAAGTCTGTGGAAACAGAAGTTCATTTTTATTGCATTTCATTTTATTTTATTACAGGGTATTGATAGAGAACAGGTCAGAACAAATTAAAAACAAACAAACAAACAAAAAAAACACAAGAACGTCCCTTTTCAACTGTGCTATCTTAGTACTACCTATCTGTTCCTGCAGACAGTTTTTGCACCATGCTCCACATCTGAACAACCAGCCAATTCAAGTGGAGTGAAGATATGACTACAGAGCACTGCAAGCCACAGCTTCCAATCCAACAAATACAACACAGGCAGCTTCACATGAGCCCTCTCAGAGGCTGCTGTTGGCCACAACCACCCCAATGTAGCACTCAAAAACAGACCTCAGAAGTTAAATCAGTCCCCGTGCATTAGTCCACACCTATCTCTGTGCTACCAGAGCAAGCAGGAGCTCGCATGGGTGGCTCTGAGCAAGCTGTGGTGGCAGCAGCTCCACAAGCTGTGCCTGCTGCTGCTCTCCTTACCTGGTAATGAGCCTGGGCTTGCTGGGCCGAATTCAGAGTGACATTGCAAAGCTTACAGCACAGAGGCTTGCATAGCTCCTCCAGTATAGCGTCCTGCTCCACAACCTTTGGGAGCTCTTCTTCTTGTGTGTGATGAAAGGAAGGCCCCAGTCCGACAGATTTTGGCGGGGACAGTGGCGAGTTGGCCCTCGGCCTTGTAGCCACTGACATAGGAAGAGATGAAGGCTTCTCGGGATGAGGAAGAAATCCTGCTTGCTGTAGAAGAATCATTGGCCAGGAAGACTAGGAGCACGTTACTTCTGAAGGAACAGCAGTCATCTGCAGACCTAGACCAGAAAGAACAAATGCTAAAAAAACCATCAACAGCTGAAGCATCAACAACCCAGACCTTAGCAGCTTCTGCAGCTTCAGCATATCTCTACTTTATGTCCTTTTACAATGCCACATGGGTGTAAAATGTCACTTTTTTACACTTTGACTAACAGGACCAGCAGCATCCTAGAGAGCCGGGACCAAACTTAAGAAGTATGTATTGAAATCCACTGAAATATAGTTATCAGCACCCTATGACACCCTTCTTGACACGCAAAAATTCCCAAGAAACCACAACATTGACCCAGAAGGCGATACAGAATGCACACCCAACTGCTCAAGGATGTGACCCACAACCCAGCACACAAAGCTGCGGTAAAGGGAAAGACAGGGACACAACCGTTGGCTGCATACTCCTTTTAGAGTAAATCCGTATCTGTCCCAACAGCAGTATTTGTGTCCAGACAAGCAACCCAGCCTAGCCAAGAACCCCCATGGGTAAGGAAATGTCCTTCTCCTGTTCAAGGACCACTGTACCGGGTGCCCAGCCTGCAACCATTTGACCCGTGTCTCCGTGCTGATCCACACTGCATCCCCTTGAGCGCCATTATTGCAGAGACATTGCAGTATCAGTCCCTGGAAAGGACTCCTTTCCAGACATGCAGAAAAGAATGTTTCTTCCCCAAACCACTGACAGTCTAACAACAATCTCACGCTCTAAGATATAAACAAATATCATACATTCTTTTTATAGACAGCTATAAAATACATTCACATACGCTCAAATATATCTCCCTCCCCTCCAAATAATCACATAGACCCTCCTGAGGAAAAGTATTCTGAAGTTAACTATCTCAAGTAAGTCAACAAAAAGCAGGGGAGTGGGAGAGGACTCGAGCACACCTTGTTGTACGCAGTCAGCCTCCAAGGGCTCTCCTCCCAGCGCCTCCATGGTCTTGCTGAATGACCTTGAGCTATTTTCTCAGTGCTTCCTTTACAAACTATAACGACGCAACATTTAAAGCTGTATCTTCCTCTTCTGCAAGAATGGAGAGCTTATTCCATATTAACCTTTATTCAATTATTTCTGAGTTAATTCGAGTTCATAGAAGTACCCCTATATTTCCAGCAGTGGGTTCTAAGAAGCTTAATTAGTTTATAAATCACATCTAAAGCCCGGGATGAACATTCCTACAATAACGCAGAGCAGTAATATTATGAATCAAAGCACCGCTACTTTTGTTCTTATCTGCTTCTTATCACAGCAGATGCTGTTCACTGTCACACCAGGCTAGAGAGGAGGGTTGTCTTGGCCTTTGCAGATCACTTTCAGCTAAGACAGCCCCTGTAGCTACCACGTTTATGGCACAGGCTTTGTTAAATTAAATAGCGACTCACGTACACTTCTGAAAATAAGGGACTTCTAGAATGTTACCGGAAAGGTAAGTGAAATTACACCTAAGGACTTTGTTCCTAAAATGTTTTTGAAAATAGAATTTGACTTCAAAAAAAAAAAAAATTGGAACGTGGAAAAGCGGATACCGTTTATCTGGGATAACTTTCAGGATTTTCAATGTGCTAAAATTAGTAGGAAACAGATACCTTGCTACATTTACATTCTGCAAAAATCTGAGTTTATGTCTGCATTTTAAGATAATGCATTACCTTTGAAAGTCTGGCCCTAGAGAGGTCTATGTTATATCAAAAAGAAAAAACAAACAAGTGCAATTAAAGGATCAAAGGGACAAAAGCCCTTCTGAAATTTTTACCTCTAAAGCTACTACTTTTTGCTTTTGCAAGGCTCCTGTAAACATTCCTGTAAACAGCTCAATCAAACCTGTTCCCCATGCAAAACTTGAACTAACCAAAGCTCTAACGTTTTCTAAATAGAGCCAGCTTTCATAACGTAAGATTGCAGGCAATTCAACCATTCCTGAAAACTAAAGAAGGGGAAGAGTACATATGGCTTTGAGGAAAAGACAACCTTTTAAGCTAGCTAGAACTAATGTTCTAATCGTGTCCCCACAGGCGAGACACTGGAAATTCAGTGAACACTATCCCTAACATGAACCAAACCTTGACCATAAACCAAAACCAGCCTCATGAAAAATTAACTGAAACAAGATCAAAGGAATCCACCATAAGGAAGAAATAAAGAAATGGGATGAAAAAGTAACAATTAGGAAGGCAAAGTTTGTTTTACAAGACAAATTTTGAGAGGAAAAAACAGTTTTAAAAGTGAGCCTAGGGAAACACAGATGCTAGCATAGACTGTAATCAGCCAGAAAACATCTCTCCTGCTGCAATTAGGATAGGAAATTCTTCCAAAATATGAGTGCAATAACATCACTATTAAGCCCTGCTGGAATAAAGGTGACCATTAAGCTGTATGAATTCTGTAGTTTTACCTAACTGCTCTCCTGCCTAGCACAGGTTTTTCTGGTTAAGCACAACTATGGAAAAAAAATCTTCAGTCTCCACAAGTCAAACCCTGTAGATAGCTCAGCGGGGCCACCAGTGGAACAAGGTTACATTCATCATGGTTAAACATATCAGAATGCAGGGCTATTAAGGCAATTTAGATCAACCATACAATTTCAGTGCTTTACTCCATTAACACTATGGGCCTCTTACCTCAGAATGGGAGAAAATTCTAGCTAAATACTTCGTACAGCCACATCAAGGGATCTAGAGTAAATGGCAACCAGAATCCTTTTGCCTGAGTTCACAGGCGAGTTTGTGGCACCAAGTCTTCCATGGACAGCTGTCACGGATAGGGTTTGCCATGCAAGAGAGAGGGCACAGCGCTAACCTCAACCGCATTCATGGGGAAAAAGAGTTAATTTCACATACTCTAAGAAACAGTGCATGATCTTACAACGGAAGACTCTTCATGTAAATGCATATCTGAAGTTAAAATTGAGGCTGCATATGCAATTAAAATTGCATATGCAATTTTAATGGTCTTCTCACGGCAATCTTTCATCAATGGAATTGCTCAAGTTACATTCCTTTTCCGGGGTCTTAGAAAGCCAAGAAAAAAAAAAAAACCAGTTTACTTAAGTACTCCTACAACACTGAACGCTCATCACTACAGACACCCTATACAGGACACCTTCATTTTCTCCTTTATGTTCACATACAAAGCTGCAAAACTTGTCTTCTGTGGAGCAGCAGGGGAAGGCTGTACCTCCCTCCCCAGGGCTCCCGGGCGGCAGCACAGGTGGCTGCAGGGCAGGGTGAGGGCCCCGCAGCCCCTGGGTTGCCCCTTAGCTCCCTGCCGTGCTAGGACAGTTTCCCCTGCCTGCCAGGCTGCAGGGGGGACAAGCACTCAGTTGTCTGCCAGGGCACCACAGAGAGCAGGGACGGTCCCAAAGGAGGGGTCTGTGCCCTGAGGGCCAGGGTATGGTACCGGTACCACATGGGTGTTGGCAGCAGCACCAATGGGAAGAGCAGCTTAGACCCGGTCACCTCCTGGTTGGATTCCAGCACAGTGTGACCCTCCTTGGCCACAGATGCAGCTCACAATGATACTTCTCTGTGACACAAGGCAATTTCACAGAAATCTGCTTTTAACAGCTCATAAACCAGCAGAAGTACCTAATAACAGCAATGAAAGTTTATATTAATGAAGAGTTGCTTTGTTCAAGACAGGGAATGTTTCTTCTCGAGTTGACTTGTGTCTCATGGCCACTGTCACCAGGGAATACAGCTTTCCCAGGGAACACACCTGGGGCCAAAGGCTGAGCCTGGAAGGCAGGGTCACCATTAAAGGCCACAGAACTGAAGTGCATTAAAACAAGGATATACATTTTATACATACATATATACCTACCCATACACGCACCATGGCCCTCCAGCCTCCCTGGCACCCTGAAACAGGGGGGGCGCTCGGTACCTCTTATGCCGGGTTGGGTATCAGAAGAGGGGTGCAACCCTGTCCCCTCCCTTCCATCAAACTCTTACGCGGAAATAAAACGGAAAAAAAATGCAAAAGAAGCGGGATTTGAGCCAGAAACGAGGACACGTATATACATATATACACACACGCACACATATATAATATATACGTATAGATAGATATACACGCGCGCGCTCACTCACCGCAGCGCCCCG